GGGAATCCGACCACCTTGCAATTTGGCTTTAGCGACAAGCAAAGCCATGTACGACAAGAACCATGCACTTCAGAATGCAACTCGTGGCCTCCATCATCATAGGGTAGTACATCAAAGTGCCTGCCACACCCACCTTAATTGCTGCCGCATGGACATACTATCCCTACACAAGACACGAACTGTTTGAGACGCGAAAAGAATGAGGCAGCAACGAAAAATGGAACCCAGACCGGAATTCCAACCTGAGAGAACTCCAGAAGCACTTATGAAGCAGCAAGGCAATGGGCAAGGAATTGCCGCACAAACTGTTCTGACATTGTGTCATGGTAGGCCCAGAACCATGCCCCAATTGTTCGACCAGGTGGAGTTGCAATCAACCCAGTACGTGTACCTTGCAGTGTCTTGGCATTGCTTAGCCACTCTCCTCCGTCAGAACTCTGACATGCCGGCCCAAACAATGCAGCGAGGACTTCTGGAGTGGGGGCAATGGGGGCACTCGTCCGGATTCTCGAAGTAGCATTCTTCGAATTTCAGCGTGAAGGACGGGAAATGCCACTGCAGCGTGATACATCTTCAACTTTTGACAAAAGCATGAGGCAAACGTGCTTTTCTGTTCTATTCTACAAGTGCATGTCATCGAGCAAGACAGGCCGGTTGGCACATAGAGATAGATCGACCCGATAAGTACGGTCACCACTGAGGTGGCTGATGCCACGGCGGCAAGGATGTCACCTCCCAGGTGACGAACACAACTTTCAATTCGGGAGTCGGAACATGCCTCCCTGTTTCAGGTTTCACGCTTCGGCAACAGGCACCTGTTCTCTCTTTACCTCTTGCCATGGACGGCGGCTGCGACCTGCCATGTCCGCTGTATCGACAGCTGAACCGGTCTTGCCAGTATGTTGCAGCTGCGTCGCGGGTCCACGTTCCACCCGTTTCACGTATGTAGGCTGAGGCAACGAGCCGATAAGCTTGTGACAGCTATCCACATGAAGCCTATCGGCAATTCCTGCCATGCACATGCAAGACCTTAGCACATGACCTAGAAGCGCCTCAGAACAAAAAGCAGAACACTTTTGGTGTACACGCCTTCAAAAAGCTGTGCCGCCAGGAACGGCAAGCGGCAAGCTGACATGTCACCTGGAGAGCTGCATGGAGCCTTGCCAGCTCATCAAAGCTCATCATCTGTCAGCATCTACGCCTATGGACCGGTGCTTTCACCAGCCGGTGTGCACAAAACGTTGTCCCGGCTCTGGTCTGTTGAAAATGAGCTGACCACGAACCACTCACATGTGACAAGGTGTAAACCATTTGTGCGAGAACGTATTCCGCAGCAGCAGCTGCCCCCCAGCTGTGACTCTGCTACTGCTGCAAGACCATGGCATCTGACATTGAAAAGCCACCCTGCTGGTGCAACGTAGACACACGGAAAATGGCTGATCATCTGATAGAGCCACCGCACAGCAAAACGGGGGAAGCGCTGAGCGAAGTTCAGGCATGGACCAGGCTGAGCACGCGCTCCAGCATCCTGCACTAGGCAGCAGCGTACGCGTACGCCAGAGCCACTCACAAAGCAAAGCGCAGGGTGTAAAAAAGCGGCGAAAACAAAAAAAGCGGCGCAGCGCTGTGTGCAGCAGGCAGGCCCAGGGCGCCTGGTGTCCGGGGCTCGGCCTTTGGAGCCAGCCGCGTACGTCTTCACCAGCTTCTGCCTGGCGGAGCGCACAGAAACGCATCTGTAGGCGTTCTTCTGCGGGGTGGGTCCTCATGGCAGGCGCCACTTCCCAATCATCCTGAAACCTTCAGACACGGACAAGAAAGAGGCAGCAGAGGACTCTGCAGATCCTGCATGTACGGGATGACAGCATAACATTGCTCAAGTGGGCCAACTGAGACCACAACTCGACACCAGTTGACAGGCCAAAAGCCGCTAACAACTCCAACCTGGCCAGGGGGTTAGTGAGTCAGGGCACACATTGCAGTCGCCAGCATCTGCAACGGTTGCATCGTCTTGTCATGTTGGCAAAGCAAAGTGTCACATGAAAGCGCGACCAAGGATGCACAGCTGCCCAGACCGAACGGCGGTCCGAAGCTTAACAGTTTGTGCCGTCAAGGCTCTTGCCCCGCTTCAAGTCTTGGGCAGCTGTGACGCGCGCTCTCAGCTCTCCTAAACTTGCTGGGACCTAGTCAAAGCGTTCTGACTATGCTGAATCTCATCCGAACTTCCAGAAACTGGCTGTCATGATTGCGTGAGCGGCAGTATTTAGAGCTGGAAACTTGAAGAAACTGTGCAGATGCTCCTGCTTGGTTCACTTCGTGCAGACGATTTAGGATCCAAGCATGGAGCATCTGCACATGTGCTAGTCTACAATCGAAGTACGACTTTTCCTCAAGCCATCTCTCGACGCAAGCTCAAGTAAACCGGTCAGCCAGCTAGAGCATTCTGATCGCCCCACCTTTGCATCTGATCAACTGCAGCAGCCTCGTTCTCCTGCCAGAAGCGCGCCATCAATGGGCCATCAATTGCGCCGAAACAGCTGTCTGCAGCTCCTGCAACAAGTCTCCCGAAGCGTTGACCTGCACAGCTGCAGGCAATTCTCACGTCGTTCCGATGCCGTTGAAGAAGGCTTCACTAGGCACGCTGCCAGGCAGGATCGACATCGGCTCTTGATCAAATCTTGCATCTCCGACATGGCCTTCCAATCAAGCACATATCAGGACAGCTGCTCACTCAGCTTCAAATCAAATGCCTCCTTCTCCGCGAGGCCAAATGCCTCTCTGGAGGCTTCAATGCCATCCACCTCGCTACTTACTCGGATCTGTCTCAGCCGAAGATGACCTCAACTCTCCCATGACCGTCTTGCCTTGCCTTCTGCTCGTCGCTGAGATCAGGATCCTATGGGTCTATTTGAACGCAGGGTCATGTAGCTGGTTGACATGGAGCATGCTACATTCTGCTACATGCAATTACCGACTGGAAGGGAAGAAACGATTCGCACTGACTCTGTCCTCGACCACCGATGCGACCTCTACTCTGAACAGTGACCTGATCAAAGGAATGCTGCAAGTAGCAACGCTGCGAGCCTCAATACGTTTCGGTCGAAGCCTTAGGGCTGCACCGAAGCTGAGGTCTGGAAAGCTCCAAGTCTTTGGCCACTTCCAGATCCCATTCGTCCACCTTACCGGCTCGTGTAGCAAGTTCGACCCCCTCGACATCTCCGTAGTAACCCATTTTCCTGTTCTGCTACACCGGGCTTCACAGCAGTGAAGGCTCAATGGCACACTCAGCATTGAATCATCGTTTGGAGCACCTGCTGTAATTTTCAAGCCTCTGGGTCTCGGGGATTGAGACCTGGAGCTTTTAGAGCTACTGCGCACTGTACATGCCCACATCGCGCCTCTACCTGGAAACCCTCACGAGGCAGTCAAATCAAGCGGATGTCATCCGAGTGAGCTTCTGGCTTCGGCTCGAAGCTTACTCAGATCCTCCGGTGTCACCGAAGGCTTGTTCAGAATCTTCAGCACCTGCAGGGTAGGAGGTGCAGCAGGATCGAGTCTGGCGGCCGACAAAATGATGAACTTCTGACACAAGAACTCAGCAGTCATTCTCAAAGAAAAAAGCTGAACCACTGTCAGCCTTGTTCTGAAGCAGGCTCTTGTTGGCAGCCTGCCAAACACCCGGCCCGGCAACTCACTGCCGGGTGCTTTCCACTCACAGCGCTTGCAATTACAGCTGCAGAGCCTCTGTGACCTTTTCCAACGGATGATACGAGACGCCGCCGTCTCAAGCATGAGGGATGCTTATTGCGTTATCGCTGCATGGCAAGCAGCCCGGAGTGAAACAGTGCAGCGAGGTCAGTTGACTCGACTGTACAAGCTGTCTCTGACCACTCGCCTGAACAAACCTTCTGGCCCTCACAGGGCTCTGCTTGTCAAACACGATGCGAGTCGGCCATTGCTTACTTCACTATATGGACCGGCTCCATCAGCGGAACCATTTGGTGCATGTACACACAGGCCCACCTTACCACACCAAAGCATGGCAGAAACAGACTGAGCCCCTGGACCGAGATGACCGAGCAGGCCACATGAGCCACATGCAAAATGTCGAGATCCAAACCTGCCATAGACGCAAGTGCTGAGTGAAACCGCTGTCTTGAGCTTAGCGCCGGGCCACTACAAGCCCAAGGCTTCTGCTTTCTTTCCTCCTTGGAGTGTCGTAAAGCTCATCAGAACCGACCATGCCGCTGCTCTCTCTGTGTGACAAGATGCGTTATGTTCGGAGTCTCGACAGTGAAGAACATGGAAGCAACCTTTGGCAACGAGAGAGCAAGGCGCATGAGGTTAGCTGCATACCTCTAATGAGACCGATCGGCACAGCTGGCACAAACGCCCAGCACGACGAATGCGAACGTGCCTCAGAGCCATGCACGATCTGTTGCAACCCTCAATAGACAGTGCCCCGAGAGCCAGACCAGTCTGCAGGCCAGGAGCCATGAAGCCCTCGGCACACAATTTAGCTAATTTAGCTGCAGCATGATCCAATGCTGAACTTGCGCCTTCCTGCTGCGGGGAATGGTACAAGCTGCATCCCCTGAAATCACCCTCTCGGGCGGCGCTCTTGTTGACTGGACCCTCCATCTTGCCCCCTTCTTGAAACGGATCCTTGCCAAAGATGGAGACTGAGCCGAGGGCGACGGAGCCCTGAATCTCAGCCATCCCTGCAGGCCTCAAACGAGATATTGTTTCAGAACAAGAAGAATGCAGGCAGCTCGACTGGCATGTCTCCAATTAGACTTCCACGTCCTGCACTCTCGTCGCGTTCAAGACTCGTGCACCACACACCAGGGCGAGCAAACGTTTTCACGACTGGACATGCCCAAAATGCCAGGGCTCTCACGGTTGCTGTCCAACAGGCACCCCTGCAAACGCTCCGAGCAGCTACTGCCTTCCACAAAATGTCGAGTAAATGTTCTTTGCTGTGGGACGCCCCCTTCCTCCTTGAGCCGAGATGAATACAGGAAGCTCGTTCGACTCCAACAAAGGCATTGACAATGTTGCTGCCTCATTGCTAAGGACGTCTCTTGCGTGGCACAGCCGAAGGCCTGCACCATGTCCATGGTCACGTCCTTCTCTATTCCGAAGAACATGGGTGCCTCGACACAAGCGAAGGCACATGCACTTTCGTCATCGAACTTGGGGCCAGGGCGCAGCTATGCCTCATGTGAAGTGTCGTCCAGTCAAGATAGCTGAGTCAGTGACCCAATCCGTGAGCATGGAAACGTCGTCTTTTTTCAGCTCACCCTGCTCCTCAACAGGCGCGCACTGTGCTCATTTTGCGGACTGGCTCAGCCGGTCACAGTCACGACTCGCTCCTGCACCTTGCTCTTGATGAACATGTTGCCTGCAAGGTGCCCCCGGCTTTGGCAGCGCCGGGGGGGGCCATCTCACATCTTCTCACATCTCACGAGGCCGAGGGGCACCATCTTGACACCATTCGAACCAGGACCTGCAATGGTTCGCATTCCACGTCAGAAGTTTGCGACACAGCCCATGGTGAACTCTCAGAGAGATCAAGGCCTTCTGCTGCACCTTCGGGCCTGACGATGGCTGCTCCGGATTGAAGGGATGTGCGGCGGAAAGTTTTGGGGTGCGTGCTGAGCCCCAGGATACCACCAATCACCGTCTTCGCTGCAGTCCACTTGTCCCGTGCGGCGGTGTCCTGTTTCGACCGGCAGGAAGGAAAGCAGAAAGTTGACACAGATCAGCAAGGCCAGCAGCCCTTCCCTTGCCACCTTGCCCCAAAACTCAACCTTCGCTTACACCCAAGTCAATGCTGTTGGAGATGCGTTTGGTCGACTGGCAAATCCAAAGAGCTTTTTGATCCCTCCCACGCAGCAATGAGTTTGCCAGGCTCACTCCGTAGGCAGCTCCCACCTCTTGAGCAGAATGAGACGAATCATGCCGAAGGCTTGCATTACAAACTCGGTCGCAGGCTCTTCGTTGTCGATCGCCTCCTGCAGTGCCTGCAACTATCCCGAATGGTCGAGTCCTCCTGTGAGATCCTAGTTCCTAGTCCTTGCAGTTTCTGAGGCCCCAACAATGGGCTTCTGGCCGTCGACGGTGCAACCCACAGCGAAGCAGGTGCCAAGGATTTCCTTGGCGGTGCCCTTGAACTCCTGGCCACAGAACATAAACGGAGAACCATACGTGCAACCATACAGTATCATATCACATAATTTCCTGCTCGGCCGTTTGACCCACCAGTTGAAGACACTATGACTCTTCAAAACAATCCTTGGCCAAGCTCTTCTTTCGCATCTGTCGGCAAATGTCCAGGAACACGTTCTGGGCAGGTCAAAGCTGTCAAAGCTTACGCATACACACCAAGGACCAAGGAAGGTGTGCAGGGGCGGCCTTGGTCAGGTTTCCGCCTTGGCGGGAACGGGAAAGAAGGCGGTCGTACCGTCGCTACGAAAATCTGTGGCCGCGTGCTGTGTTTGATGTTCTTGGTCTTCTTACGATCACGGAGTGGCTCCTTCAAAGCCTTCCAGCACAGCATCCGAGCCCTTCCACCCCTCAAGGCACGAGGACTCACTGCCTTGATCACAAGGCTGGTGGCATTCGGCTCCACGTCGACTTTGGCTGCCCGGTTCTGGATTGTCAGCTTCACTGTCACCCGGATGCCCTGAGGTTCAGTGCGGCCCAATGACTGCCAAGCAAGACCCGAAACGAAAGCGGAAAGCCTTCCACTGGCTGGTGCCCTTCACGATATCATCACCTACCTTCCAAGCAAAACACGTCCCATCAAATCGGACGGTCACATGCCCCCATGTCCAAGCCCACCTTCTTGGGAGACATGCCAAGAGGACCCACTTTAGGTGCCAGCACTGAAGATGGTGCCTGCCCCCACATCCGTTTGCGATAAGCCGCTTCTTTTGAGGCGTCCTCCTAATCAGTACAGTATTATGTGCCAACTCTGCAGAATCATGTGAAGGCAGTCGCCGTGGAGTGTTTTAGTTTCTGTTGGTGGCTGCCCAGCTTTCGCAAGGCTTCGATGCTCATTCTGCTTGTTTCGCCCCCTGACTTCATGCAAGTGGGATGTTGGGAAAGAGTCAGCGGCCTGCTCACCACCATACTGCCGCAGAAAGACGACCTCCACAGCAGAGATGTCTCTATCTGCGCAATCACACACGACAACCAGTGGAATGTGCCTTCACCTCATTCGGGTCAAACTTGGGAGCCATGCTTCTCCTCGGCTGACTCGCACGTGCGCAGATCCACGAAAAGGAAGGCGACAGAAGGCGCCGCCGGGATTCACTCACCGCGCTCACCGCGGTTTTGCGATGGGGAGGGTGGTTCTGCTACCTGCGAAGTGAGCCGGAGATGGCCACCAAAGTCAGCGCCGTTCAACGAAGCAACACCTTTGCCTTGGGCTTTCGGCGCACAACAAAAAATCCTACCGCCTTAACCAGCACTCTGGGAATTGTCGCGCCGCTTCGCGACTGTATCCCGTACCTCAAGACTCACATGCTTGTTCAGCCTCGTGTGGATGCTGGTGATGTCTTTTCACAGTCGCTGACTGCATTGATCCCCGTCTATCGGAGAGACGCTGTGCCCTTCCTGGTGCCGCTTCTAGTCATTGCAGTGTTGCCAATTTTCAAAGAACTTCGCAGTCCATCAAGGAGGTCTCTTGAATGATCGCATGTCTTCTCCAGCCCACAGGGAGTGTGTGCCTTTCTGTCGCCGAGCCACTGACCGGGCGACTTGGCTACTGTGCTTGAGGTTGGTTGTGTAAACTCTCGTCACCCGGGTGATTTTCAGCAGAACATGAAACTGCGAGGGAAGCAGACGTCCTGGCAGGTTATCGCATTCCACACGAAGATGCCGTACATCTCCTGCGTACGGCGACGGCTGACTGGACGTCTCTTGCTGGGTTGCGGGGGTGTTACGGAAGATGCTAGAATGTCGTCTTCAATTTATTCAATTATTATCTCCATTTTCTTGGGTGTGGCTTCGAGCGAGGAAAGCATAGAAATGTTTCGTTTTTTTTGCAGACACTCACCCCGATTCATTAGTGATTAGCAAGAATCAGCAGGTCTGTGTTCCAATGCGCTTCAACACTTCAACATGCTCCTCCTTGTTCTTGTCCTCTATCCACTTGCCGACTTGAACAGGATACCTGACAGGGTCACGTCCCACAACAGACACCCGTGGGGCTGCAACAGCTGAACCCGGCAGAAGTCAAGCATCACTATCACTATGGCGCACGCAGCTGCCCACGCATCCTCGTCATCTGAGGAGCTGTCCACGGCATCGTCCTTCAGGACCTGCTGAAACCCAGCACTCATTTTCCAGGATAGCCACAAGGTGCGTGACCAGCTGTCACACCACGATCGAAACAAAGCAGCGCCACACTACCTTGTTGTTCGTGTAGAAGTCCGCCACCTTCGTGAGTTCCTGCAAGGCGACAAGCACAGCACAGCACCGCACAGCACAGCACAGCCACTGGCTTCCAGCATCAACCCATCGTCCTAGACTGGTGCAGCTAGTCTGCTGCATTCAGTCGGGTCCTCCATGAGCTTGAAGCCACGCACGCCTTCCAACGGAGGACTGTCCTGCCGGTCCGGGAAGAGATTGGTCCGTCCTACTACTGGGGGTTGTTGTGTCCTTAATTCCAAGCTCGGCTCCGGTGCCATCGGCTGTCGGATCATCCCCGAGATCCTGTATCAAAAGAATCGGAACCTGAGGACCTGGCGGACCTATCCATGGCTTGGCAGCTCGAGACCGCGCCTTGCCACGTTCCTTGTTAAGCTGCAGCAGTGCCTGGAGACAGCTGGAGTTTACGAGTAGAGGCTGATGGCCACGTGCCACTTGCGGCCTCTTTCGTGTAAGTAGCCTCTTCCCAGGCGTCTCGGACGGGAATCATCATTTCCCTGAGCCGCTCCTCACAACAGCAAGCCCACGCAAAGCAGCCAATTTTTTGCTAAGCAAACTTTAAAGATAAGGAAGGGAAGCGGTGAAGCGATGTGAGTCATGATGTGAAGCGGCTGTCCTCAACGACACCGTGGAAAATCTTTTCCGTGTCGCTGGTCTCGAGACCTGCCGACAGAAAAGCCGTCGACTGCAAGCAAGGGGAACGGTGCGGAGCCTAGGCGGTCTCCCAGTTGGGACAACGCCTGCGACAGCGCTTACGGCGTCCGTGGTCTTTGAAGAACAGGGGACGACTCTCGCACTTGGAGTCGGGGCGGACCTCTTGTGCTTCCTCCGACATCACACCTATGCACGAGAACCAGGGAACCACGGAGGGCTCTTAACACAAAATGCACGGAGGCTGCTCCCGAATCTCTGCAAAGACTAGGCACGGCAACAGACAGCATACGGCATGCACCACAGCGCGCCCCAGATCAAGTACACTAGATTACTAGACTACTGAGGCACATGTGCACCAGAGAGACACTCAGAATATCCGTCACGATTTGATTTCTGCGCCGAGGTACGGAACAGAGGTGATGGCAGGCCTTAGGCCTCCCTGATGTCTTTGGCTTCGAAGCCTGTACAAATATAAACGAATTCTGCAAGCAAAACTTCACGAGGCGGGCCCATTTACAGCTCGTCGTGTGCCTCCTCCTCGTCGTCATCTGCGCCGCCAGCACCGCCGGCACCACCGCCGCCGTAGTACTTGGAGACGATGGGCGCGCAAATGCCCTCGACCTCCTTGTGCTTCTCCTTGATCTCCTCGGCATCTGCCTCAGGGTTGGAGTCCAGCCAAGACTGGCCGTCCTTCAGGGCATCCAGGATCTTCTCCTTCTCATCGGAGTCCATCTTCTCACTGAGGCCCTTGTTGTCTCCAGAGCCCTCTGTGGCAGATCGCATAGAGTGTATGTAGCCGTCGAAAGCGTTCTTGGCGTCCACGCGCTCCTTGACCTTCTTGTCCTCATCCGCGAACTCCTCGGCTTCGCGAATCATCTTCTCGATCTGCTCTTCGGTCAGCCTGCCCTTGTCGTTTGTGATGGTAATCTTCTCGCTCTTGCCGGTGCCCTTGTCCTCTGCGCCCACATTGAGGATGCCGTTCGAGTCGATCTCGAAAGTCACCTGCAGGGGCATGCATCGCACATCAGGCATCGCTTGGCTTAAGTCTCAAGATGTCTTAAGCGATAGGTTAGTCTGGCAGGGGAAATGGGTCAGAAGCGAGAGCGGCGAAGCCTCGATTTGGGGCTGTCCACGAGGAGCAGGAGGGATTCCACCGAGCTCGAACTTTCCCAGCAGGTGGTTGTCCTTGGTCATGGGTCGCTCGCCCTCGAAGACCTGGATGTTCACCGCAGGCTGGTTGTCCTGGTAAGTGGAGAAGATCTGACTCTTCTTTGTCGGGATCACTGTGTTGCGAGAGATCAGTTTGGTCATGACACCGCCCACGGTCTCGATACCCAGGGTCAATGGAGTCACGTCCTTGCTGCAGAATGCTCTGCTGCATACAAGTCAAACGGGAGGACATCACAACAACTGCACCGCCACCTGAAAGCCCTAGGCCCCAGGCCTCACCAGTCCCAAAAAACTCCGAGCCAAGCATCCAAAAGCAGCAAGTCCTGGCCACCCTCACCGCTCAGAATACCAGCCTGCACGGCAGCGCCGTACGCCACGGCCTCGTCGGGGTTAATGCCGCGGTTGGGCTCCTTGCCATTGAAGAAGTCCTGACACCACACTAGTGCTCGAACACGCTCGGGATACGCATGAACAACTATACGTGCAACATGCACGGGCCATCCTTGATCAGCTGCTGCACCTTGGGAATTCGGGTAGAACCGCCCACCAACACGATCTCGTCGACTTGGTTCTTCTTCAGGCCCGAGTCGTCCAACACCTGCTTCACAGGGCCAAGGGTGTTCTTGAACAGGTCGGCGTTCAGCTCCTGCCAGGGAAGTGCCGGCACGACCCAGCAGGCTACACGACAGGGCTCAAAGCTGTTTGCGGCCCCTCCTCAAAGCGAGCGCGGGTCAGCGTCTCAGAGAAGTCGACACCATCGTAGAGGGCCTCGATCTCCAGGCGTGCCTGGTGAGTGGAGCTAAGGGCTCGCTTGGTCTTCTCCACCTCCCTGCGCAGCTTCTGGATAGAACGCTTGTCCTTCGACATGTCCTTGCCATGCTTCTTTTCGAAGATCTTCATGAAGTGCTGCATCACACGCTGGTCGAAGTCTTCTCCGCCCAAGTGGGTGTCGCCGTTGGTGGCCACCACCTCAAAGACGCCGTTGTCAATGGTGAGGAGGGAGACATCAAAGGTTCCACCGCCAAGGTCGTACACAAGGATGTTCTTCTCCGTCTTCTTGTCCAGACCGTATGCGATGGCTGCTGCAGTGGGCTCGTTGATGATGCGAAGAACATTGAGGCCAGCAATTGTGCCTGCATACACCAGTGGCCACTTCCCATACCCTTATCACCCAAAACCACCAACAGCATGCAAAACCTGAAAGTCCTCCTAAGGGAAGCCCGACAATTGCCTGCATCCTTTGTGGACTGTCTCTGGGCATCGTTGAAATAGGCAGGCACCGTCACGACGGCATGCTTGACCTCCTTGCCCAAGTAGTTCTCGGCAGTCTCCTGCAGCGAGTTGGACAGAAAGCACCATCTATGTCCTAGGCGCTTTCACTCCTAGTCGCCTAAACTCTGCCAAGATGCCTTCATCTTGGTGAGCACCATGGAGGACACCTCCTCTGGAGCCATGACCTTCTCCTCGCCCTTCACTTTCACAGCGATCATGGGCTTGGTGCTCTTGTCCACGATCTTGTATGGAAGGAGCTTAATGTCCTTCTGCACCGTGGAGTCCTTGAAGCGCCGGCCAATCAGGCGCTTCACGTCGAAGAGGGTCTGCGTAGGATTGATGGTGGCCTGATTCTTCGCCGCCTCTCCGATCAGACGCTCGTCATCGGTAAAGGCCACATAAGAGGGCGTGATACGATTGCCTTGATCGTTAGGAATAATCTCTACTCGTCCATTCTTGTAGATGCCCACGCACGAATACGTGGTGCCTGAGAGACATCCAGTCGCACGGACGCACGCACACACTCTTGAGGAAGCTCTTTCGAAAGACACAGCAGCCAGTCAGAGGTTTTCGTCCCGGCTCAGTGTCAAATGCAGCCAGGGTCCTAAGTCGATTCCGATCACTGGGCCATCGATCTTCTTATCCTCTTCTTTGGCGGCCGCGAAGGCCGCGAGGGTGATCAAAGCTACGGCTTTCCACATGAATCCGGCCAATCAAAAGGTATCTACGACTTGGGGTACAGGGCTTTCGGCTGCTGCTTGGCCAGTGCCAGCGAGGATGTGGTTGCAACGATACCGCCTCAGGACGTAGCATCCAGCTTGCCTTAAAGCAGTGTGCTCTCAGGAGTCTGTGGCTTGGTTGAACCACTCTATGCGACAGCATCACCTTTTACACTCGGGCGTCAGGCAGAAGACCTTCGGCCTTTGCCAACCGTTTTTTGGCTGCAAAGCCAGTTTATTCGGAGATGGCGGCTAACACTAAAAGCGCTATCGAACTATCTATATACAAGTCTCATGTCGAGACGGCAGTGGTGAATTAGAGCTCGTCGTGTGCCTCCTCCTCGTCGTCATCTGCGCCGCCAGCACCGCCGGCACCACCGCCGCCGTAGTACTTGGAGACGATGGGCGCGCAAATGCCCTCGACCTCCTTGTGCTTCTCCTTGATCTCCTCGGCATCTGCCTCAGGGTTGGAGTCCAGCCAAGACTGGCCGTCCTTCAGGGCATCCAGGATCTTCTCCTTCTCATCGGAGTCCATCTTCTCACTGAGGCCCTTGTTGTCTCCAGAGCCCTCTGTGGCAGATCGCATAGAGTGGATGTAGCCGTCGAAAGCGTTCTTGGCGTCCACGCGCTCCTTGACCTTCTTGTCCTCATCCGCGAACTCCTCGGCTTCGCGAATCATCTTCTCGATCTGCTCTTCGGTCAGCCTGCCCTTGTCGTTTGTGATGGTAATCTTCTCGCTCTTGCCGGTGCCCTTGTCCTCTGCGCCCACATTGAGGATGCCGTTCGAGTCGATCTCGAAAGTCACCTGCAGGGGCATGCATCGCACATCAGGCATCGCTTGGCTTAAGTCTCAAGATGTCTTAAGCGATAGGTTAGTCTGGCAGGGGAAATGGGTCAGAAGCGAGAGCGGCGAAGCCTCGATTTGGGGCTGTCCACGAGGAGCAGGAGGGATTCCACCGAGCTCGAACTTTCCCAGCAGGTGGTTGTCCTTGGTCATGGGTCGCTCGCCCTCGAAGACCTGGATGTTCACCGCAGGCTGGTTGTCCTGGTAAGTGGAGAAGATCTGACTCTTCTTTGTCGGGATCACTGTGTTGCGAGAGATCAGTTTGGTCATGACACCGCCCACGGTCTCGATACCCAGGGTCAATGGAGTCACGTCCTTGCTGCAGAATGCTCTGCTGCATACAAGTCAAACGGGAGGACATCACAACAACTGCACCGCCACCTGAAAGCCCTAGGCCCCAGGCCTCACCAGTCCCAAAAAACTCCGAGCCAAGCATCCAAAAGCAGCAAGTCCTGGCCACCCTCGCCGCTCAGAATACCAGCCTGCACGGCAGCGCCGTACGCCACGGCCTCGTCGGGGTTAATGCCGCGGTTGGGCTCCTTGCCATTGAAGAAGTCCTGACACCACACTAGTGCTCGAACACGCTCGGGATACGCATGAACAACTATACGTGCAACATGCACGGGCCATCCTTGATCAGCTGCTGCACCTTGGGAATTCGGGTAGAACCGCCCACCAACACGATCTCGTCGACTTGGTTCTTCTTCAGGCCCGAGTCGTCCAACACCTGCTTCACAGGGCCAAGGGTGTTCTTGAACAGGTCGGCGTTCAGCTCCTGCCAGGGAAGTGCCGGCACGACCCAGCAGGCTACACGACAGGGCTCAAAGCTGTTTGCGGCCCCTCCTCAAAGCGAGCGCGGGTCAGCGTCTCAGAGAAGTCGACACCATCGTAGAGGGCCTCGATCTCCAGGCGTGCCTGGTGAGTGGAGCTAAGGGCTCGCTTGGTCTTCTCCACCTCCCTGCGCAGCTTCTGGATAGAACGCTTGTCCTTCGACATGTCTTTGCCATGCTTCTTTTCGAAGATCTTCATGAAGTGCTGCATCACACGCTGGTCGAAGTCTTCTCCGCCCAAGTGGGTGTCGCCGTTGGTGGCCACCACCTCAAAGACGCCATTGTCAATGGTGAGGAGGGAGACATCAAAGGTTCCACCGCCAAGGTCGTACACAAGGATGTTCTTCTCCGTCTTCTTGTCCAGACCGTATGCGATGGCTGCTGCAGTGGGCTCGTTGATGATGCGAAGAACATTGAGGCCAGCAATTGTGCCTGCATACACCAGTGGCCACTTCCCATACCCTTATCACCCAAAACCACCAACAGCATGCAAAACCTGAAAGTCCTCCTAAGGGAAGCCCGACAATTGCCTGCATCCTTTGTGGACTGTCTCTGGGCATCGTTGAAATAGGCAGGCACCGTCACGACGGCATGCTTGACCTCCTTGCCCAAGTAGTTCTCGGCAGTCTCCTGCAGCGAGTTGGACAGAAAGCACCATCTATGTCCTAGGCGCTTTCACTCCTAGTCGCCTAAACTCTGCCAAGATGCCTTCATCTTGGTGAGCACCATGGAGGACACCTCCTCTGGAGCCATGACCTTCTCCTCGCCCTTCACTTTCACAGCGATCATGGGCTTGGTGCTCTTGTCCACGATCTTGTACGGAAGGAGCTTAATGTCCTTCTGCACCGTGGAGTCCTTGAAGCGCCGGCCAATCAGGCGCTTCACGTCGAACAGGGTCTGCGTAGGATTGATGGTGGCCTGATTCTTCGCCGCCTCTCCGATCAGACGCTCGTCATCGGTAAAGGCCACATAAGAGGGCGTGATACGATTGCCTTGATCGTTAGGAATAATCTCTACTCGTCCATTCTTGTAGATGCCCACGCACGAATACGTGGTGCCTGAGAGACATCCAGTCGCACGGACGCACGCACACACTCTTGAGGAAGCTCTTTCGAAAGACACAGCAGCCAGTCAGACGTTTTCGTCCCGGCTCAGTGACTAATGCAGCCAGGGTCCTAAGTCGATTCCGATCACTGGGCCATCGATCTTCTTGTCCTCTTCTTTGGCGGCCGCGAAGGCAGCGAGGGTGATCAAAGCTACGGCTTTCCACATGGCTAACAAAATCACTCCAGCCCACAAAATTGGGCAGCTGATTTGCCCTTGTTGAGAAGATACATCATCAGAAATATATTCGAGTTGCGGCAGCAAACTGGATCATGTTTTGAAACTGCCTGCCAACGCCGCTGCCGCTGGCTGCTGGGCTTTCCAGCTCATGCAGACCTTTTCTTATCGGCTGCCGCAAGGCAATGCCTGGTCTTGTTGGCGCCAAGGCCGGTTTTTCTGAGAACCTTACGAGAGACCATTATCGATAGCACACTGTCCTTCGACAGCAGGTGAAACAGCGCTTCGTCTAACAGCTAGCATGCACAGGTAAGAGAGCCTTACAGCTCGTCGTGTGCCTCCTCCTCGTCGTCATCTGCGCCGCCAGCACCGCCGGCACCACCGCCGCCGTAGTACTTGGAGACGATGGGCGCGCAAATGCCCTCGACCTCCTTGTGCTTCTCCTTGATCTCCTCGGCATCTGCCTCAGGGTTGGAGTCCAGCCAAGACTGGCCGTCCTTCAGGGCATCCAGGATCTTCTCCTTCTCATCGGAGTCCATCTTCTCACTGAGGCCCTTGTTGTCTCCAGAGCCCTCTGTGGCAGATCGCATAGAGTGGATGTAGCCGTCGAAAGCGTTCTTGGCGTCCACGCGCTCCTTGACCTTCTTGTCCTCATCCGCGAACTCCTCGGCTTCGCGAATCATCTTCTCGATCTGCTCTTCGGTCAGCCTGCCCTTGTCGTTTGTGATGGTAATCTTCTCGCTCTTGCCGGTGCCCTTGTCCTCTGCGCCCACATTGAGGATGCCGTTCGAGTCGATCTCGAAAGTCACCTGCAGGGGCATGCATCGCACATCAGGCATCGCTTGGCTTAAGTCTCAAGATGTCTTAAGCGATAGGTTAGTCTGGCAGGGGAAATGGGTCAGAAGCGAGAGCGGCGAAGCCTCGATTTGGGGCTGTCCACGAGGAGCAGGAGGGATTCCACCGAGCTCGAACTTTCCCAGCAGGTGGTTGTCCTTGGTCATGGGTCGCTCGCCCTCGAAGACCTGGATGTTCACCGCAGGCTGGTTGTCCTGGTAAGTGGAGAAGATCTGACTCTTCTTTGTCGGGATCACTGTGTTGCGAGAGATCAGTTTGGTCATGACACCGCCCACGGTCTCGATACCCAGGGTCAATGGAGTCACGTCCTTGCTGCAGAATGCTCTGCTGCATACAAGTCAAACGGGAGGACATCACAACAACTGCACCGCCACCTGAAAGCCCTAGGCCCCAGGCCTCACCAGTCCCAAAAAACTCCGAGCCAAGCATCCAAAAGCAGCAAGTCCTGGCCACCCTCGCCGCTCAGAATACCAGCCTGCACGGCAGCGCCGTACGCCACGGCCTCGTCGGGGTTAATGCCGCGGTTGGGCTCCTTGCCATTGAAGAAGTCCTGACACCACACTAGTGCTCGAACACGCTCGGGATACGCATGAACAACTATACGTGCAACATGCACGGGCCATCCTTGATCAGCTGCTGCACCTTGGGAATTCGGGTAGAACCGCCCACCAACACGATCTCGTCGACTTGGTTCTTCTTCAGGCCCGAGTCGTCCAACACCTGCTTCACAGGGCCAAGGGTGTTCTTGAACAGGTCGGCGTTCAGCTCCTGCCAGGGAAGTGCCGGCACGACCCAGCAGGCTACACGACAGGGCTCAAAGCTGTTTGCGGCCCCTCCTCAAAGCGAGCGCGGGTCAGCGTCTCAGAGAAGTCGACACCATCGTAGAGGGCCTCGATCTCCAGGCGTGCCTGGTGAGTGGAGCTAAGGGCTCGCTTGGTCTTCTCCACCTCCCTGCGCAGCTTCTGGATAGAACGCTTGTCCTTCGACATGTCTTTGCCATGCTTCTTTTCGAAGATCTTCATGAAGTGCTGCATCACACGCTGGTCGAAGTCTTCTCCGCCCAAGTGGGTGTCGCCGTTGGTGGCCACCACCTCAAAGACGCCATTGTCAATGGTGAGGAGGGAGACATCAAAGGTTCCACCGCCAAGGTCGTACACAAGGATGTTCTTCTCCGTCTTCTTGTCCAGACCGTATGCGATGGCTGCTGCAGTGGGCTCGTTGATGATGCGAAGAACATTGAGGCCAGCAATTGTGCCTGCATACACCAGTGGCCACTTCCCATACCCTTATCACCCAAAACCACCAACAGCATGCAAAACCTGAAAGTCCTCCTAAGGGAAGCCCGACAATTGCCTGCATCCTTTGTGGACTGTCTCTGGGCATCGTTGAAATAGGCAGGCACCGTCACGACGGCATGCTTGACCTCCTTGCCCAAGTAGTTCTCGGCAGTCTCCTGCAGCGAGTTGGACAGAAAGCACCATCTATGTCCTAGGCGCTTTCACTCCTAGTCGCCTAAACTCTGCCAAGATGCCTTCATCTTGGTGAGCACCATGGAGGACACCTCCTCTGGAGCCATGACCTTCTCCTCGCCCTTCACTTTCACAGCGATCATGGGCTTGGTGCTCTTGTCCACGATCTTGTATGGAAGGAGCTTAATGTCCTTCTGCACCGTGGAGTCCTTGAAGCGCCGGCCAATCAGGCGCTTCACGTCGAAGAGGGTCTGCGTAGGATTGATGGTGGCCTGATTCTTCGCCGCCTCTCCGATCAGACGCTCGTCATCGGTAAAGGCCACATAAGAGGGCGTGATACGATTGCCTTGATCGTTAGGAATAATCTCTACTCGTCCATTCTTGTAGATGCCCACGCACGAATACGTGGTGCCTGAGAGACATCCAGTCGCACGGACGCACGCACACACTCTTGAGGAAGCTCTTTCGAAAGACACAGCAGCCAGTCAGACGTTTTCGTCCCGGCTCAGTGACTAATGCAGCCAGGGTCCTAAGTCGATTCCGATCACTGGGCCATCGATCTTCTTGTCCTCTTCTTTGGCGGCCGCGAAGGCCGCAAGAGCAAAACTGGCCACAACGGCTACTTTCCACATGGTCACTCGAGGTTCAGCTTCTACCAAAAATGCCTCACAGGCTTGAGCACATCGGGCGGAGTGCTCTGGGAGCAGCGTTCACCCTGGATGCCTGATGTTCGAGGGTCTGTGAAAAACTACAACACGAGAACCACGTAACATCACCATCAACACTCCACGGCTATTTCCAAGGACACAAGGGGTCTACTTTGCCAGAAACACACACTCCAGTTGGGTGGTGACGCGCCTGATCGCCCGAGCGCTTCCCTGACGCTCTCCTCGTACGTAGATGCAAATGCCTTCGGATCTGACAAAGAGTCCACACTCAGCAAAGACTCGCAGTGTCTGTCCCTGTCTGTACGCTTCGGCAAAACGTGCTATCGGAAACAACTGCGTGCACTAGCAACCTACGTCGATCCCACCGACCACCCCTGCACCTCCTAGCACAAAGAGTGGGCGGACTGAAAAGCTTCGTTTTATCAGTGGCGGCAGATCCCTGTAGCCCGGAGATGCCTAGCTTCGAGCTAGCAAAACTCCAGGGAGGGTTGGGTGGGTACTCTGAAAAACTTCTACCTTGTAAAACCCCTGATATGCTTAATACGTCCCCCTAACTCGGGGTTAGCCTGGGTGTATAGGCTGGTGCATTGCTGCAGGTGGCTGAAGAATTGAATACAATATAAGACATAAAAACCGAAACGGTTGCTAGAGCTGCAGCTCGATACCGATGCGAAGTCGCTCCAGAATCTGCACGAATCTAAGCAGAATCTGGACGAGCTTGGCTCGCGCAACGTTGCTAGGACCAGCTGCTCGATTCGGAATCGTTCTCAGAATATGCACAACTTAAGCAGGCTCTGGGCGAAGTTGGTCCGGGCAATTTGGGGATAGCAAACTGTTCACGGAGGCCAGTAAGCATCAAAGCCTCCCAGGTGCAAAGCTAACAAACCGTAAGAGAAGTAAGAGATTCGAACGTGACGGAAAAAGATAAGATGCGAAAAATAATTAGAAACAGTGAAGCAACATCAGCTCTTTTACCACCATGGCCCTCTACACTTTTATGAGAAGGGCAAAAGTTGGTAATTGAAAACATAAAGAAACAGCCAACGGACAGAAGAAGTGAGTTTCTGAATCCACCCAAGACAATGCTAGTTTCCTTCACTCACATGCCCAACCTCCTGCCCCCACCTGCCCAGCATCACCCATCCCGCTGGCTGGCTGCTCCTTTTGATCTAGGTCGGCACCACGTTGGAACCCGGTCAGCGGAACCAGGTCGGAACCCGGTCGGAACCAGGTCGGAACCAGGTCGGAACCAGGTCGGAACCCGGTCGGAACCTCGTCGGAGCCCCGTACCACCCCCAAGCTCACCCTACTATGCTTAACATGTTAAGCTTTGGGGGGTCGTACCGGGCTCCGACGAGGTTCCGACCAGGTTCCGACCTGGTTCCGACCAGGTTCCGACCTGGTTCCGACCTGGTTCCGACCGGGTTCCGACCTGGTTCCGACCTGGTTCCGACCGGGTTCGGACCTGGTTCCGACCGGTTCCGACCTGGTTGCGGCCTGGTTTCAACGTGGTGCCAAAGGGCAGCCCAGCCGGCAGCCAGCCAGGTGCGGGACGGGTGGTGGAGGAGTGGGGATTGGGCATGTGTGCCCATATCTTGGAGCGCAAAACTAGCAGCTTCCCCGAAGAACCGACACGAGCCCTTTCTCAGCGCCCTCTAGACATGAGCCCTTTCACAGTGCTCATGCCTAGCTCATGGCTCCAGTGCTGTCGGGTGATACCCCCATAGACCTTCTCACAATGCCCATAGTGAGACTAGGACTACAACTACTGAGCGACTACCATGAGTGCTGGATGTGACGGATGTTGAGTGGGATGTTCGTGGGGATGTTCAAGGGGAGGATCGCCATGTCGTTGCGGCCATGAGTTAGGCTGTAGGTGCCCAGCCTTATCCGATTCATTATGTGACAAACGCCTCGGTCATAGTTTTATATGCTACCACTGCTACTTTCAACACCACCAGAAACCCCTATTTATCATGTGTTCAACCCCTCGACAAACCGGTGGATCATAGCCGATATGCTACCACTCTTAAAAAGACGTTTTAAGCATACCAGGGGCTAAGCAACTTCTACCCCCCAAAGGGGTTCTAGCCGTAACGGCGACGGATAGAACACATTTAGCGAAAACACCTTCGATGTTTTAGCTGTCGACACCTTCGATGTCGAAGGAGGAACTTCGGGTTGCTAGCACACACAGTTGTCCCTCGTCCCTCGTTACAAGAAGCGTGCACTAGCAACCTACGTCGATCCCACCGACCACCCCTGCACCTCCTAGCACAAAGAGTGGGCGGACTGAAAAGCTTCGTTTTATCAGTGGCGGCAGATCCCTGTAGCCCGGAGATGCCTAGCTTCGAGCTAGCAAAACTCCTAGCAACGCCACTCGGGCTACCAGGGTTCTAACTTCTTGGGCTTCTTTCTGAAACGCATCGGTTTCACCGACCTAGCTGCTTTCCTCTTCTTGACTTCTCCGAAAAAGCTTGCAGAGTGTTCTAGCAGCTTGCCCAAGACGCGCCACCGAAGTTCGCTGCCAACTAGCGGGACCCGGAACTCTGGGGAGAAGTGATCAAACTTCTCGTTCGTCAGGTCGTCTGCTAGCTGGTTCAGGTCACGGCGGACCCACTGTAGCTGGAGTTCGCAGTTTCTAGCTTCCAGCTCTTCCGCTAGCTCCATAAGGACTAGCCCCGAGGGAAACTTTGTGGTCATAAGCTTCTTTAGCAGAGCTTCGTTGGACTGGTTGTCCGTATAGCCTCTTAGAGCCACACGGGACAAAGTCCTAGCCCTGCCCTCTGGGATCCAGAGCCGAACTGCCACAAGGGTTGCCAGTAGCTCTAGAGCCGCAATGACCTTGTTGGGGTCACCCTTAGCGAAAGCCCAAGGTGCCCAATCAGCCTCCACTTCTAGCGAGAACCAAGGGCCCTGGCAGCCGGGAACTAGCTCCAAGAAACCCCCGATCCAGGCCCGGCCCGCCTCGGCCTTAGCGTCGGTGAAGAAGCTGAGCGGCGCCTCCGTCACTTCTAACGGGGTCGGCTGCTGTAGCCGGTCACCCTTCTCCAGGCGGTCTGCGATCCAACTACAGAGCACTCTTATCATGGTGGGCAACTTTAGCGGACCTTGGCAACCTTGCACCGCCGAGGACCAGGCATATAGCGGTCCGAGAAAAGGCTTCTCCCAATCTAGGGACATCGCCGCAAATCCCAGCCTGCCTAGGCCCTGCGCCATTTCTTTGGCCGTGATGTAGCCAGCTGTAACGGTGTTCCGTAGCCAGGAGACCAGCCAGCCTGCTCTTTTTGCCGAAAGCCCCAGGCGGTGGCTAGCGTACTCGGTCTCCATGCCTAGCCACTCCACCCGGAAGCCCCCTCTCGACTTGGCCCACTTGAAGGGGAAGCCCAGACTAGCGAAGTAAAGGTAGCTGAGCGGGATCCCCTGTCTCCCCTTTGGGCCACAGCCTAGCGACTCCAGGTCGTCCGCATATAGCAACATGTCTATCGGATACTCTGGTCCCACTAGGTGGTGGACGAGTCTCAGACCGCAGGCGGCGATCCTCGACCATCAATAGCTCGCGCAGGAGAGGCCAAAGGTGCCTACCAGATTGACGTAGACCGTCTGTGTAGCGGGGTCCCCCCGGGACCTCTTCCTCTAGGCTTATCTGGCATGCCAGATAGCCGTGCTCCTTGCTCTGGTGCTTGTAGCGGCGGTGGGCTTTAGCGATGTCGCCAACAACCGAAAAGGCCACCTTCTTCTCCGCTAGCATCTCCCGGAGCAACTGCTTCTTCTCCCGGGCTCCTGGAGCACGTAGCTTATCACGACATTTAATGCGGTGGTTGACTCTCACACCATGAGTAGCATCATGGATGATGCGCTTCTTGTTAGCCGCCTCGTCCTCAACGATGACGGCTAGAGCAGCTATAGCTCGGTGGTCGCCGTACTTCTCGACAAACTCGCCTAGAGTCATCTTTAGCATGAGGCCCTCGGCTACGTCCTCGTCGAACTTCTCCTTAGCAAAGGACCTGTGTTCGTCGACCGAGGTGTAGTTAGGGACCCACGCTAGCGAAGCCTCCCAGGGAGCATTCTCCAACGGCCACTTTAGCTGCTCCTCATAGACGTGAGGTGTGCGAGGTAGCGGGTCGAGGATCCCCACAAGAAGTCCTGTCTCCGCCGCCAGGAGGAACTCTCTATCCGGGTCCCCCGCAGCCTCTAGCAGCGCTCGCATGAGCCGAAGATAGAGAGGCTGGCCCTCCGCCACTTCTAGCAGCTTCGGGTCTGTAAGGTCTTGGGCCTCTAGCCAAGCTTTCCAGACTTCCCTGAGCGGGGGTCCGACGCCAAAGAGCAAGCTGAAGCGCCTCCCGAGGCCATGCGGAAGGCCTCCTTCTCTAGCTCCTTCTCGGAGCCAAGCTTTCCAAGGACCACCTCCTTCATCCTGCTCCGTAGCCAGTCCCAGTTCTTGCCGCTAGCGAGGTTCCGACGCTCCGGTGGCCAACGGCCAGGGGAACAGAGTCCCCCGCCGTCGTGGAAGTCCTTGTGTTCCATGACCTCCTTGTAGCCTCGGGCCCTCCGGTTGGCAAACAGGATAAGCCGTCGGAGTAGCTTGCGGGTGCTCCGTAGCGGGGGCCCCCAAAGTCTCGCCGCAAGCAGTCGAAGCTGAGGCCACCGTGTGGAGCACCAAGGCTGCTAGCCAGCTGCACATTTGTGGTGGCCAAGCCGCCGTACCTGTGGTAGAAAGCAGTAGAGGTCCTGCGCGCCAAGAGACCCGGTTCGCGGCTAGCAGCAGGCAAGGGACCAGTGTAGTAGCCTTCGGAGTCAAAGGCGGGCAGCGCTTCGTAGCAGCAGTCAGGCAGATGCAGAGGCGTCTTTAGCAACAGTCGAGTTGGCTTGCTGTAGCTTGTACCAAAAGAGCGTTGCTGAAATGCCTGCCGAAAGTAGCGCAGGAACCTGGGGCCATTGCCACATGGACGCGGGTCTCTGGC